AGATCTTCCACTCGACCTTCATCACTTTAAAATTTGCTACAGCTTGATAGTTTTTAGTAAATTTTATTACAATATTTAAGCTAGTGATATAAAATTTTGTATGTATATGTAAAATATAATAAGGAACAGTTTTATTTGGTTTAAAATATATATTTAATTATAAATTATTAAAGAAAATTAAATTTTCTTTAGCAGAATTTTGGTACAATTTCTTTAAAACTTCATTGAATTACAATACTAGGAAAATAACAGTAATTTGGCTTGAACTTCAAATGATAAATTATATATGCTGCTATGCAGCATATGTTATTCACTATTTTAAGTTTAAGCCAAATTACTGTTATTTGTTAATGCTTCCTTAGTATAATATATTTTCATTTATACTAATAGAAAAACTGAGAAAGCTATTGCAATGCTATTGGATTCTATACTGCTTTGGTCTAGAAGCATGTATCTTGGATTTCAACATAGTGCAAATTTTTGAATATTTCTTAAACTCAGAGCAACTGCTTTGCTATTTTCTTTATTGCCAAAAAAAATGAGCATCTGCATTCCAATATTCATAACCATCATGAACATATAATGTGAATAATCACTATTCATGCTTATTAGTATTATATATGAAATTCATTAATATTAACTAACCATATCAGGTTAAAATTTTAATCTGCCAAAATTTGCAAAGTATAAATCATGAATATATTTAAATGTCTCTTTTTAAGTTTTAAAAGATTCAGTTTGATAATTATTTTGTATTAAAAATTCAACTATAGCTAAAATATTATCCTTTAAATTAGTCTTCTCAATAAGATGCAAATTTATTAAACTAACAAGTTTTATTTTAATATTAGTGACCTCCTTAGTTCTTAAATACTTCATATCTGAGTTTTTATACAACTTAGATACTTTTTTTCTTACAACATTTATGATTGCTGAAGAATTGTAATATTTGATTGCCTTATTGCTTATTAAGTCTTTTATAAGCTTTGACTGTTTTTGCATATCACTTTCATCTATCAAGTGACTATAATTAGAAGTATTTTTGATCTATAGGTAATAAAAAAACAATTTAATTTTACTATTATATTAAACACTTAATTTATTTTTAATTTATATAAACTTATAATATGCATAATTATCTTATAATAATTTATTTAAATTAAAAAAAATTTTTTAATAAATTATATTATTTAAATATTAAAAAAAATTTATATTATACATGGAGGACCAGGTTAATGACGGCCAGACCCAACGTACAGGACAGGCTATGGTATTCTGCGCAGCTGTGCAAGCCGAGCATACGGTGAGCGAATCTAC